GAGTGAAGTGAGCTCTACCGATGAGCCACAACCCCAGCCCTCAGATTTTCGTTTAACATGATAGTACAAAGAATATGTATTTGTTGTTAACAGTGATTACCTGTGGGTAAAGGGATGAGAAGTGCTTTAATTTTCTCAACATTTTTGCATTTTGATTTTTTATAACAATAATTATAGATTATTTAAAAGCAAATCGAAATATATAAAAGCAACAATGCCAATTATTAGTTATTTTAAACTAAATAGTAGCCTTTTTCTATTGTACTCTGCTAGCAATTCAATTTCACTTGTAATATGTCAAACAAGAGCTCAGAGTAAGGAAACTCTTGCCAGGTGTCACTTGAGACATCATTTATTAAAGACATATTTTATCTAAAAGAAACCAATGACACAGTTTTGTGCCCCTGGAGAATATACAGTGACTAGAGGATATGTTATATACACATGGTAAAAATGTGAATTTTTTTCCCCCAAGCAGAGAAGCAACATGTGAATTCTGATACTGCAATTAGAATATTTAATACAGAGAGGGTGTGATATGGAGGAATTGGCATAGAGATGTTTGTTTCTGGAAGTCTTTTGACCTCCCAAGACACAGGGCAGAGCAAGAGAGAGACAGAGACAGAGATGGCTGTCAGAGATGGCTGTGGCTGCCTGCCTCTGAGAAAAATACAAACTTGGCTTCACAAACACAAGGGTTTTAAGAGGGACCACCAACCCCTGACTGTGAACCTGACTCAGATCTGCACTCCTCTGGCACAAAAGAGAGTTTCCCAAATGATTTCCCAAGGAGTGTCTTTACCTACCACAAAACCCAAATTTTCCCATTATAATTCCATTTTTCAAATCCCAGGATGTCTCAGGTAAGACCAGGAGGTGGGGGCTGGGAGAGATTAAGTCATTGCTACAATACTACAAATGCACTTGACAGTCACCTCTTTAATCATCTAAATATTCTGTACCTAGATATTTCATTCACAGATTCGAGTATTTTTGGAAAATACCTTGTGTCAAGGTGTCAATGATTGAGCTCATCTTGCACAGTCATTTATTTAAAAACTAGTGCCAGGCACGATGGTGCATGTCTGTAATCCTAGATATTTAGGAGGCTGAGGAAGGAGGATTGCAAGTTCAAGTCTAGCCTGTGCAACTTAATGTGAGATTCTGTCTCAAAATTAAAAAAAAAAAAACCAGAAAGAACTAGGGATGTAGCTCAGTGGTAGAGCCTCCCTGGTTCCAATCCAGTACCAAAATAAAACAAAACAAAAGAACAAGAACGAGTGTTTACCAAATACCAGGCAGTACTGGATATTACACACTGTTCCAACACCAAGAACCTTTATTACTCAGAGGCCACAAGATGAAACAGATTGGTTTGAAACATTAGGGTTTGAACACGAGGTCATTAAAAGGCACTAAAATAGGTATGTATTAAAAGTTTTCCTCCTGTCTAATGAGGTATTTTTCAAAGTGCTTAGCAGGGACTTTGACTACTCACTATGTAGGTTTAGATCCTGCAAGTATTCAGGTCAGTTCCTGCCAAGGTTAAGCCCAAGTTGTAAAGAGTATAAAACCTCTCAGACTGAAGGGGTTGGGTCCAGAGGCAGGAGGGAGTTGCAGGAATGAATTCAATGCACCTCATCAATTTTAAACTTCTTCCTGCATAGGAAGACTATAAGTAATATAAATAGTAGGATTTCTGGCCAGGTTCAGTAGTGCAAGCCTGAAATCCCAGCTACTCAGGAGGTGAAGGCAGGAGGCTAAGGCTGTAGGATCGCAAGTTCAAGGCCAGCTTGGACAATTTAGAAACCCTGCCTCAAAATAAAAAACAATAAATTAAAATGACTAGGAATGTTGCTCTATGGTAGATAGATCCTGAGTTCCAACTCCAGTGCTGCTAAATAAATAAATAGTATGATTTCTTACCCAACCAAAGGGGGACAGAAACAAGCTGAGTGAATATATGAGAGAGGTGGAGCTGGGACTGAACTGGGGTAGAGACATGACTTTTTTTCACCAGCAGACTTGTGTGATCATTGCCACAAATCCCCTGAGCCTCGATGTCCCCATCTGAGTGATAGATTGGACCAGAGCTCCATGAAGAGCCTACCAGCTCCACTGTATGATGATTTCCATCCCTAAGAACAGCCTTCTCCTGTGAGTGCCCAGTCTCCATCAAGTTCTGAACTTTAAAGTTCATGACACTGAACTAATCCCCAGTGGGCAGAGTCCGGACTTTGCATTCCCAGATCTGAAGCACTAATGGTTAAAATACTCCTTTACACACATCTTTCAAGGGTGAAATTTCAGCTCAGATGAGGTGTAGCTCTAAAGCTTGGCAAGTCCCAGTGCCAAACATCTCAAAGCCATGGACAGGACGGAGCCTCCAGAGCCAGAAGGAGAGAGCAAGATTCCAGCACTC